CCCCAAAACCCCAAAACCCCAAAACCCCTTAATGCTTTATTAAAACATAATTTGAATAATTAGGAATTTCAATTTCATCTCAAATTCACTTATAATTTAAATTAAATGGAATCAAAATACAAAAAGCAGCACGCAAGTTCTTAGGAAAAGCAAGAACTGCGACCAGCTAGAATTACTCTGAATGATGGCCTTAATTAGTCATTATCCATGGTACCTAACACAACTGATTCAAAGGTGAGAACTGACATTATTCAACTTACTGAGAAGACTGCTATTCTTGAATAAATACTTGGAAGGAAAAATTAGTCTCACAATAGCAAAGTCAACTTGTCATTCGCGGGTGGAGCTAGTGGAGGAGCAGATGAAGATCAAAGCAAGTACTATAAGTAGTCAACATTGAGGATGGAAGCTGACCTATCAAGAACTAAGGATGGCTTTATAAGCAGCGGTGGATAGGTCTCCTCTCATATGGAGAAGATTAGTCTTGTCCCTAAATTTGGGGATCTTCAAATAACTATGACTAAGAGACTTGGCTCTAAAGGAAAATAAGACCAAGATAGTAGGAATGCAAGCTCCTTATCTCATCACAATAGATAACAACTAACATTGGAAACGCCTTCAGGACACCAACGAGGAGATAGTATGGTTGAGCATCACATGACCTTTGACTATCAAAATACCTCATAACAATCTAGACTTCTTGCTGAAGAGGATGTCAAACTTCCCTAAACTATCAAAAATATCAAACTAAACAATAAATTCAGTAAAGATCGAGGAGGTGATGGCATACTCTCGAATATAAGAATGAAATCCCAAACTACGAGAAATAATTGGCATGCGAACAATTTAAGTGTAGATTAGAGCTCTTAAACTTAGGATTATTCTGAGAATCCTACTTAGAGATTTACTATGCCCTTCAAAGATTTAAAATAGGATAAAATAAATACACAGATTAGTTAGAATAGACAAATTGATTAGAACTATAGAGAACTCTCAGTTTCCCTAAATAAATTTTTGAAAGATAAGTAAAATTACAATTCAGTTACGAATAGAGAACAAAAAGAGTCTAATAGAACAGTCAAAAATACCTATCAGTTTGATAAGAGGTAAAGATCCCTCACTCATGATAAAGAGGAGAGCAGTTATATTGCAAGTCATGAAGTTAGACCAAAGAGTCTAATTAAGATTCCTAAAGACATAATACTTTATCAAATATCTAAAAAGATAGGCAATAGAGCTTAGAATTTGGATGAAATCGTTAGTGTTTCTTAAAATTAAAGTAATTAAAGAGCTGTAAAGTCTGGAGCACATCAGTAAAGTTATTTAGATTACCTTGAGAAAGGTATGCTAGAATAAAGTACAGATTAGAAAGATAGTAGAAATACCAATGCCGCTAGCTAATAACAAACCACAACAGCTAGAGTTACTCATTATAGATCATTTATGGGGTCTAATAATACAAGAAATATTACTAATCTAAATGCTTCGAACATAGAGTCTAAAAGTATTCTTGATCAATCAACTATATAATAGAATCAAGACAACTAATCTTAGAGTTTTCATATAACAGATCTTCTTGAAAAAACACTTAAAGATGATAGGAACCCGAACAGTAAGTTTATTTTGATATTGAATCGAACTTAACAATTAAACTATAGAGAGTAAATAAATTATTGAGTATTACAAACGATCTGTAAAATTAAATGGTGATCTTGACAAGAATAAAGAAATTATGATTAAGAATTACAGACTGCATGTTGTAACGGATGATTAAGACCTTTCAGAAAAGGATCGAAAACTATTAGGATTGACTACTGGAACATCAATTTATGTCAGTAATTCAATTGTAAAGCCTGAAACTTTCAAATTTTCTACAAAGATAGTCCATTAGATGCCAGGTGCTATAAATTTTGATTAAATTACAGACTATGATACAAAAAGAAATAGATCAGTAACTAAAAAATGCAAGCAAAACCTTTCAACTATAGAGGAAGATATTCAATTAGATACATTTTTGACAGAGTTTAGCTAGAAATACAACACAGAAGATCTAGATGAGATTCAAAGACTCGAAAATAAGTTCTTCTCACTAGAAAACAATAACTCAATGCTTATCATTAACGAAGATTTGAACGAAAAGGATAGTTTAATAGGAGATGACTCTTATCTTTAGCAAGTTAAAGATTCGCATTAAGTCATTATGTACCAGTGGAATCAGCCAGGCAAAGTCAGTAAGCTCTCCTCAATCATGGAATCTAAATTAGAGCATAAGAGCTAAAGATCTTCTCCAACCAAGAAGTACTAATAGTATGGTAACTAATCACCTCGAATCAGAGATATCAATTAAAGCATGCTTAAGTAGAATGATTAGCCTCAGCTAAGTGTTTACTTGATACCAGAAAGTTCTATCCCTGCAATAGGATCCTAGGTTTATTTTGATAGCCTAAAACTTTCAAAAGTAAATACCAGAGTAAAGAATGAATATGACTAGTTTATATCCTAAACGAGATCAATAACAGTTACAAATAGCCAAAACAAGAAGGAGGGCTTATAGACTCTAAATTACTTTGATTGCAAAAAAGCCTTCAACATTACATCCTATCAACTTACTCATCTAGATGATCCTCTATTCAAGACTGATACTTTTCCTCCGGAACTATTTGTTAACTTTCAAAAATGGGTAGAGCCACTTATCTTGAGACTAAGATAATGGCAATCACTATAACCTGATGAGGCAGAGACATTTAAGATCATGGCTGATACATAATACTTTAGTACTAATGGAGAAGCTCAAAGCATTGAGGTGTAACTGATCGAATTTGATCCTGCATCCTCAAAATTTCTTGTTGAAAATAAGAAACTTGGAATTAGAACTTGGAGATCAAGATTGTTTATGAAGCTCAAAGATGATAATGCTGAACTTATTCAAAAATAAAGAGAAAAGATAAAAAGAATCATGTTGGAAACTAAAGAGTTCTTGAGACTCCACAGACTCATTCTTTACGAATTATGTCCAAAGTATACCTACATATAAATGGCACCTCAATTTAGAGAGAGGATCAAGTATTTTTTGAAGATTGATGCTGAAAAGGTTAATAAAGAGTCATATGAAAAACTAATAATTTAAGCAGAGGCATTATTCGTCTTTGCTATCTTTAAGTCAGTTTTAATTTCATAAATAATGGATCCAAACATTAAAAAGATAGTTATCGATAATAGAATTAGACTTAATTCAGGAGCTATTTTTTAGTACATACCTTAATTAAAAGAGAAAATCGATCTTCAAGGATTAAAGCAATATAGTATGAGGGATAGAAAGATTGAACTTGATTAAAATTCTATGTTACTTATGGATAAAAAATATATATAGTTGCCGATTTTTCTGAACAAAGTTACTGCTGAGACGATATCTAAGTATAAGTTGTTTAGTTTTCCTTTTGATATTCTTTTGCTGACAAGCTAAGGATCAGATGTCTTTAAGAAATCAGATCTTTAAAATCTTGATTAAAAAGTCAATGAGTTTCCTGTTTAGCATAAATATTTCATTCAAGCCTAAAAAATAGTGACTGACTACTTTCATTCAATGGCAAGATTTAGATGGGCTGAGGCAATCTATTAAGAGGTTTGGAATTTCGTCAAGGATGATTTTGAATATGTAACTGGCAAATAAATCTTAGAGGAATAGGTTGATCCAGTTCTGAGAAGACTGTTTTACCAGTTAAAGCTCTATATGCAAACGATCTTGTTTGATCATTATGAATTGGCATTGCAAGAATATTTAGAGTTTTTAATGAGTTTTCTTATGAGGGATCCTGAATCTTCTCATTCCCTGGTTTCTTAGTCGATATCTAAGAGTAGATTTATTAAGCTAAGTAGCTCTAGAAATATTAAAGATAAGAATTCTTCAATTAAGAATGATCTTCAGCTTATACCAATGAAGAGAAAACCATTTGTTTACATCTAAGCAATAATTGAAAATAAAGCTGCTAATAAATATTACACTAAGATGGAGAGTGGAACAAAGCCAGACCTTGAAAAAGTAAAGAATGATTTGCAGTCAGTAGTAACATCAATGCATGAAGCTCTTAAAGGTATCGAGAGAGTTGATAAACTGGTATTTCCGCTATTAGTTCTAGAATTTCCATCTTTGAATCCTCCTGACATCAATAAAAATGAGAAGTTAAAGATTTACATAAGATCTATAGAAGCTGTGATTGATGAGGGTCTGAGATAAAGCTATGAAAAAATGAGTGATATAGACAGATACATGTTTATCTATGATAAAAAGATAGATGAAGTAATTCTTGAACTCAAAAAGAAAACTTTCATACTCTTGAATGAAATGGAAAATGAAAATAATAGTATGAGTAAAAACAGTTCACTAGAATCTATAAGTCAATTATCTTCTTAATCAGAGGAATAGCTTGTGATGGTAAATAATCATCAATCAGCAATGAATCAAACCTAGACTTAGGCAGTTAATGCCCCAAATATCAATCTTTCAATGGGTCCAGAGGTTGCTTTTAGATCAATTGACATTGATGATGGACTTTTCAAAGAAGAATTAGAGTCTTATAAATTAGTGTTTTGGGAAATAAGAGAGGAAATTAATAATTAATATGATTTTGGACTTGTTTATCTTGATTGCTTACCATTTAAAGAAAGAATACTGAAGCATATCAAATCTTTGATTGATCATCTTGAAAACTATGCTAAAAAGGAATTCCTTAATAAATTGAATAGTATCTAAAATGAAATCAACAGTGTAAAGAGTAAGCTTGAAGAGAAAGTATAATCGATTGATGATGTGATTCTCCTCCTTGATTATATTGAGGTTATTAAGAGACCTGACAATAAGGTGGATGAACTAAGTATTAAGATAGATGAGCTTAAGCTAAGAATGATATTTATATTGAACATAAAGATAAATTTGAAGTCAGATGATTACATGCTCTATCTTAACATGCTTAACTGGCCTCGAACTTTTAAAGCTTGGCTAGATGATAGAAAAATTGAACTTCAAAGAGCCAAAGATAATTTATTCTATGAAATGGGCAATGAAAAAGACATGATATTTGAGAAAATTGAAGAATTCAAGAAATAGATATATATGATTAAGAAGGAGGGTCTAATTCGAGAGTCAGAGATTGAGAATTAGAGTTAGCAATATACTTAAGAAGAGTTCTTCTCTCCTACTTTTAGAAAAAGAAGGCAGTTAGCCAAATAGAATAACATCAATTTCTAAAGTATAGATATGATGAATGCTACAGTATTATCAGGAAGTCTGCAAGTACCAAATTAATCTTCTGATAACTTTAGATTGTAGAAGGACTCAACAATCGCTACTTTTAAATTCATTGCAAAAGAAATCAAATGGGATGATTATAGGTTTGAACCAGAAGTAATTGATGAAGTATTTGACATGACTGATTAGCTTAAAAATGAATATGATTCAATCGAAAGACTCACTGCATAGATAAATAAAAGAGAGACATTGCTTGGCGTTGCTTAGACAGAGTTTAAGGAACTTCGTATAATATTAGATGATCTTAAGCCGCTATATGATCTATGGTAGATTGCTAGCAAGTTCAGCAAAACTTTCCCAAGTAAGATAAAATGGAAATAATAAATTTAGTGTGGATGGAAGGAAGATTTGACTTATTGGATAGCGACTAAATAGAAGGAAATGTTACTGATTGGATAAACGAGCTGAAGAGATTAAGCAAAAATAATTTCCTTAAAAGCGCAGTCAAATAAATGGAGCTCTTATCTTTCATTTATCAAGCTTTACTGTAGTTTAAGATATATCTACCAATGTTAAAAGCTATGAGAACAAAGGGACTAGTACTTAGACACTGGCGAATGATTGGTAATAAGTTAGATTTTGTGGTAGATCCATCAACTGTAACTCTAAGGAAGTTGATTAATTTAAAGCTGTATGAAGAAGATAAATTGCATGTAATCAAAAGTATCTGCGAAATTGCAACAAAAGAATATGCGGTTATGACTTCACTTGACTCCCTAGATAGGGAATTAAAAGCACTTGAGTTTACTTTATAAGTTTTGAAAGAGAATCCGGTCTAATAGCCATTGACAGTAATTCAAGTATAAAACTAAACTTATACCTCTAATATGTCCTAGATTCAACCTCCTACAGAAAATCCACTCATTGTTCTCAAATTAGGGGAATTAATATCCTTATTTGAGGAGTATTTCATGAGAGTAAGTGTGCTTAAGACAAACCCATTCGTCAAGAACTTTTATGACAAAATGATTGAATTAGAGAAGATTGTTAAGCATGTAGTAGAGATTCTAAATGAATGGTAGCTATTTTAGAAGAACTGGATATATCTTGAAAGCATTTTCTCACTCGAAGAGATTTAAAAATATCTTGACAAGGAAAGCAAGAAATTTTAGGGCATTGACGCATTTTATAGATCTGTTACTAAATCTTTTGAATAGACTCCATAAGTTTACAAAGCATGCTAAAGAGAAGCTTTCCTCATTTAATTGCAAAGATTTAACAATGAATGTGAGGGAATTATTTCTGGTTTGAATCAATTCCTAGAATCCAAGAGAGAAAAATTTCCGAGACTATATTTCTTATCAAACGAGGAAATGATTGAAATATTTGGAAAGGCAAGAGATACTAGAAAATCAACCAATTTAAAAGTTTAGAGTCCGGCTTTTCTAATTAAATTATTCGATGGAATAGACTTAGTTACCATTAATAGAGATGGAGAAATATCAGAAATCATCTCTAAAGAAAATGAGGTTGTCAAACTCATAAAGAAAGTTAATTCTTTCGATTGTACTCCTGAAAAATGGCTATTTGATTTAGAAAGGGGAATGAAAAATTCTATGAAACTAAATCTTTATCTAGCTTATAATACCTTTGAAAAGTAAAAGTTAGAGGAGTGGCTGAGTCACTGGCCTGGGTAGTGTATTTTGACTGCTTCACAGATCTGGTTTGGCTAGGAGATTTTCAATATGTTTACAGCTAGTCTTGAGATTAAGAAATATGAAGTTGGGCAGGACTATACCAACCCCGTGTTAACATCGGCAATTAACTCTCCTAGGCTTGAAAATACCAATTCATCATATTCGAGAGCTGCTTTAGATTCCCCGAAACTGTCATTTAAGTAATCTCCGAAGGAATTAAATATTCAGAAACTTCAAAGATAAAGTGTATTTCTTGATGAAGTTTTGGATAAGAAGCTGATGAAGTAGGTAGAAAAGGTCATAGAGTTGCAAGAAAAGACTCAACTCAAGCTTACAGTACCTTTCTTACAATAAATGGATGACTTTGCTTATAAGCTAAGAGAATACATATCAGATTTCGCTGAAATGATAAAAGTCAAGCAATCTAAGATTACCAGAATAACCACTATAAACCTAATAGCAGTCTTTATCTACTTTAGAGAAATCTTAGACAACCTTATTGAACAAAAAATATCAAAAGTAGATGACTTTTAATGGCAGATGATCCTAAAGTTTTCTTTTAAAGATATTGCCAGCAACCTTGTCATTGACTATGAGAACCCAAATAATGGTCAAGAAGAAAGAATGAAGGTGGATACTCAAAAACTTGAAATAGCCTGTGAAGTTTTCAACTCTCAAAGACTTTACGGATTTGAATATATAGGGAATAGTAGTAGACTAATTGTTACCCCGCTAACTGAGAGATGCCAAAGAAGTTTATTGATTGCTCTTCATTATTTCTATGGTGGAGCACCTGAAGGACCAGTAGGCACAGGTAAAACTGAGACTACCAAAGATCTAGCAAAGCAAGTGGCTAAGCTATGCTTTGTTTTAAACTGCTCTTCCAATTTTGATTATACTAGTGTAGTTAGATTTTTCAAGGGAGTTGCCTCAAGTGGTTCTTGGGTTTGTTTTGATGAATTTAATAGAATGGACCCACATATTCTGTCAATCATATCGCAAGTAATTATTGCCATTCAAGGAGCTATTAAGAAATAAAGTCCAACATTGTTTATTGATGAAACAAAAGTTCAAATCAGGCCAGAATGTGCCATCTTCATAACTCTTAATCCTTATTATGCAGGAAGGACTGAACTCCCTCTAAATCTTAAAAACTTGTTTAGACCGATTTCTATGGTCATTCCAGATTCAACTATTATTGCTGAGAATTTACTGTTTGCAGCAGGCTTTTAGAGTGCAAGGATTCTTGCTAAAAATATAGTCAACATACAGAGTCTAACTGAAAGGATGATTCATTAAGAAGAATTCTAAAATGATTTCGGATTAAGATCAATTAAGGCTATTGTTTCTATCGCTGAGAAGATGAAATTATTAAGTTATGACCTCATTGAAACTGATCTCGCTTATATTATAGACGATAAACAGATTGCTAAACTGCCTACTAAAAGTTAAGAAGTAATAAAAGAGTTTATCAATAAAGAACCTGACGAAGTCTCCTCTTAAAAGGCAAGACGAGAAAGTGAATTAATAACTCAATAAAAAGGTTCAATGAGGAAAACTGGTATCGAAGCAATAAAAGAAGAACTGGAAGATGATCACGATGATGTCGTAATGAGTGAGTCTTTCTATCAAAGTACTTCCTAAAAACGATAAAGCTAAAGGAGAGATGGAGTGAACAGAAAATTACTTACTGGAAATATCTTTGAAAAAGTTCATGGCTTCGGGACTGACATTAAACAAATCCACAAAGAACTGCTCTATAAGCAGCTTGGACTAGATCCCAGAATAAAAAAGACAACTGAACTAGAACTAGAGAATCATATAATCATGAAAGCAGTAAAGGATTATAATGAATCGAAATTTTCAATAGAAGATAATAAGATCTATGGTTAAATCCTTAAAGATGTATTTTAAGACCAGTTTAAGCAAGAAAATGATGTTAGCAAGGATAACAATTTGAAAAGTTGTATCAAGTAGACTCTAATTGAGATGAAATATGATGTATCAAATGATATAGTTGAGCTAGTTTATTAGCTCTATGAGTTATAGCAGGTCAAGCATGGTATAATTGTAGTGGGCAAAACATAAAGTGGAAAGTCCACAATCATTAAAACTCTTGAATCCTCCTTGAATAAAAGTTCAAGCAATGAGTTATCATTGATGATTCTTGAAAAGAGAAAAGAGAGGCTAAAAGAGATTACAAAAGATATTGAGGAACTGAACAAGGCTAAACAGCCACTAAGAAAATAGCCTACTGCAAATATCTCAAGAGGCAATGTAAGAAGCTAGATGAGTATGGTGAGTGGAGGCCAATCAGACTCAACTCAGCGAAGAGGTTTCGGAGCACCATCAGATACAAGATCTAGTCGAGCTTAAAACATTCTAGCAGAAGTCTACAAGAAAACTAAACTAACCTAAAAGGAGATTGACTATCTAGCTAAGGATTTGAAAATTCAAGGAGTTCAGACTTAAATAATAAACCCTAAGTCTATGGAGATGAACGAACTTTTTGGCTAATTTGAAGAAGAAACGCATTCTTGGAATGAGGGCATATTCACAAAGTTATTCAGAGAATATGCCAATGAACATCACAATAAAAAGAAGAAATGGATCATTCTAGATGGACCTATTGACAGTTTGTGGGTTGAGAATTTAAATTCCATCTTAGATGACAATAAGAAGATGAGTTTAGCCAATGGTGAATCTATATTCATGTCTAAATACATGACTCTTATGCTGGAAACTGACAGCTTACTGAATACTACACCTGCAACTGTGAGTAGATGCGGCCTAATATATCTTTAATAGAGTAAGTTGATCAAGCCAAAGATGCTCTTCAATGCTTGGCTTAGATCCATTCCAAATGTTCTGAAGGAATATGAAATCGAAATTGAATAATAAGCCAGTTGCCTATTGAAAGAAGCCCTATAAGTATTCTAATCTAATAAGGAGAGAAGTAACTTAATATACTAAGTGGTAGACCAATACTGGCTGATTAAGACATTTCTTAGATTAATGGAGTCTTTTGTTCATGATTACAGAGGGTATGATGAAAGATTAGAGGATAAAACTAATGAAAGCAATCTTAATCATTAAAGAGAACTTGAAGAGTCAAATTTTAACGCTAAAGACAGAGAATCTCATGATGATTCAAATGTGATTACTAATGTCCAGTCTAAAGTAGCTCTTACTTCATAAAAATCAGAAGTGAACATTACAATAATGAACAAGACCCAGGGGAAGCAGGAAACACAGCATAAGCCTAATCATAGGAACCCTGTTAATAGATTTCTAAATGATGAGATCAGATCTGAAAATGCCATTAAGTTTACTCCTGTGTGGCTTGAGGCTGCAATCATATTTTCAGTGACATGGGCTTTTGGCTCGATTATGAATGATGTGGGTAAAAATGAACTGGATGTTGCAATCAGAGAAAAACTCAATGATTTTAAATATGATCTTTAGCTTTATCAGAAGCAAAAGAAAAAGCAATAGCAATAAAATGAGTAAAATGATAAGAAAGGTGGATTCGACACCCATAACTAACTGAATAACACTGCAATGAATGACTCAGTTATGATAAAGTCAGTAATTGATGAATATGATGGTTTAAAGCAATGGAGTGATGAGTTTGATGATGTCAGCATCGAATAGCCTAAATTTTTATCTGAATTCCCCATTCAGAATGGACAATCTATATTTGAGTCTTACTTTGCTCTTGACTAATCTAATTGGGTAAAATTCAACGTTGAAAGAGAAGTCAACCAGGCTATTGTTAACTTTCATAGCCTTCCTGATTCAATGAAGAAGGTCTAAAACATTTATGTACCAACAATAGAGTCAATCAAGTATTAATACCTATTAGAATGCTATATCATAAACTAAACTTCAACATTACTAGTGGGCGCTTCAACAACTGGAAAGACATCCTTGATTAGAGATTCTTTATTTCATTAAGTCTTCTAATACACATACTAATTCGTAATTGACCACATCACTCTGTCGCACTCTTCATAATCTGACCTAGTAAGAAAAACAATGGAGAGGAAATTAGAACTAGCATAAGAAAAGAATGTCAGATTTATGAAACCTACTGGCAGTAAAAAGTTGGTTCTCTACATTGATGATATTCATATGCCTAGTTAAGATGCTTACGGCTATCAATCTGCTAATGAGATGATTAGAGATTATTTTACTTTAGGAGGATGGCATTAATCAAGAACTAAGAAGTTCAATTAAGTTAAGGACCTAACAATAATTTCTGTTCTCTCAACAATTAACTCTTGCTAATCAGTCCTTGGAATGCAGAATAATAAGTAAACACCATAAGTTAGTGAGAGACTCTTACATCATTTTGCAGTCATTGGTATTGATGAAATCAAAAGGAACTCACTTAAGTCAATGTTCCAGATTATCACATCTATGCTTGCTAATCAATGGCCTTCTGAAATACAGCAATTTTCATCTAAAGTCTTATAGTTCGTACTCGATTTATACTATTCAATTTCAGAATAACTCAAGCCTACACCTCTCAAAGTTCATTATCACTTCAGCTGGAGGGATATATTCAGAATTTGTAATGGGCTTATGCTCGTAGAGTCGAATTACCTTAAAGATCAAGTAAGCTTAATGAAGTTGCTCTATCATGAATGTTTAAGAGTCTATGCAGATAAAATAGCTATAGAGTCTGACTATGAATGGCTTAATTCTAAGTTGAAAGAGCTAAGTCTAAAGCACTTTGATATGAATGGTAACTTAGAAGAGTAAAATAGCAGAGCTAGTTCATAACAATTTATTAGGAAAAATACTTAAAAAGAGAAATCTATGACTTCATAAGAAGATTTAGCATTTCCAATTTCAAATCCAAAAGACTTATACTTCTCTGTTTACAATCTTGATGTTGAAGGGTATTATGTCGAAATTGAAAATATAAATAGAGTAGGAGAAGCAATTGATAAGATGCTAGAGAAATATAATGAAGCCTCTGACAGATCTTAGATAAATCTAATACTCTTTAATGATATAAACAGAATCTTACTAAAAATGGTCAGAGTATTGAGTACATCTAATGGACATATGCTGGTAGTAACAGTGAAAGGTTCAGGTATAACAAATCTTCAAAAGCTCGCAAGCTTCTCATTAGGCTATCAACTGAAGCAACTTGAAATGCTTCCTGGCTTTTCATTGGAAGAATGGAGGCTAGAGATGAAAAAGCTTTTATTAAGGGCAGGTCAAGATGATAAACCAGTAGTATTAAGCATGGATTAGTTCAAAGTTTAACTGGATCGCTAATACGACGATGTAGAGTGCATCATAAATAACAATATAAGCAGTGACATTATGTACCCCTAAGAAATAGATAATTGCCTCAGTTATATTTATCAATAAATTGAGATGGAGAAATTAGCCAAGCTGAACAAAAATCTTAATGTGATAAACTCATCTGCAATGGGAGATTAGTTCTCAAGTGATCCAGATCTTAGCTAAAGTAGAAGAATGCAAGTAATGAATGATCTGTAAGCATCAGCTTTGAGTGCTATTCAGAAGTCTCCATAATTGTAATGTGAACTTTACAATTACTTTCTGAAAAGAATCAAGAATAATTTCCACTTGCTTTTGACATTCTCGCCAACAGGAGAGGACTTTAAGAAAAACTTGGTCAAGTATTAAACTTTTCTAGCAAATTGTACTATTATTTGGACATTTGATTATAATCAACAAGCACTAGAAGAATTAGGGAGTTAATTCATGGAATTTGCTGACTATAAAGAACTAGCTTAGTAAAATGGCGATTAGATTATTGAAAAGAAAGAGATCAGAAAGCAACTAGACAAAATCAGAGGTAGATAAGATACGATGTAACAAAATAGCAAAGTACTTCATTGCTGTGTCCAGATGTATCTCAATGCAAAAGAAATGTCAAAGAAATTTTTTTAGTAATCAGGTTAGATACTGTATTTCACTCCCTCCTCATTTCTTGGTATGTTTAGCAATTTTAGAAGACTTCATACTGAAAGAAAGAAAAACGTGATGGATATTTAGAAGCGCTATGAAAATGGACTTGAAAGAATAAGAGTCACGTAGATTGCAATTCAGGAATATCATATAGAACTTGAGTAAAAGATACCAGTTCTGCAAGATAAACAAAAGAAGTTAATCATGGAAATTTAGGAAATCGAAGGGAGATTCAATAATGTCAAAAAGGAGAGAGATCTTTTGAAAAGAGAGGAATTCAATATTCAATAAGACTGTGAAACTGCACTGTAAATAAAAATCTAATGTGAAGAAGCATTAAATAAAGTAGCTCCTGCATTAAATGAAGCTGTTAACTCAATTTAGAGTTTGTCTAAGCATGATCTTAGTGAACTTAGAGCAATGAAGAAGCCTCCAAAAGTCATAAAGTTAGTACTTAAAGCTGTGTGTATTTTACTATAAGTGCAGCCAATAAGAAAGAAGGCAAAAGATGGCATTCATTTTAAAGAATCATTTTGGGCTGCTGCTTAAAGTAAAGAAGTACTTGGAAATGTTAGATTACCAGATATGCTGATAGAGTATGATCGAAATAAAATTTCTTAAAATATGATGGTCAGTATTGAGGAAGTATTAGTAGATTCAGATTATACCTACGAAAATGCTTATAGAGCTTCAAAAGCAGCAACAGGTATGTTTAAATGGGTGAAAGCTATTAGAGAGTACTATTACATCTTTCAAGAAATAGAACCCAGGAGAGATGCATTTATGTTATCTGAGAAATAACATAGTATTAAAGTAGAAGAATTGCAGTTAAAGAGAAAGGAACTAGGTTCATTGGAAATTTACTTGATCGAACTTCAAGAAATACTAGACGAGAAAGATCAAATTATTGAAGACCTGAAGATTTAAATTTAAGACTGCAAGATCAAGAAAAAGAGAGCTGATGTGCTACTCAGAGGATTAAGCAGCGAAAAACAGAAATGGATAGTCTGCACTAGAATGCTTGCTGGCAAGTATCTCACAGTCACTGGAGATGTTCTGCTAAGTTCTGCGTTTATTTCCTTACTCTCTGGATACACTCAAAAGTACAGAAACAAACTGATTAAAAAATGGAAAAAGCTTTTGTAAGAGCAAGGATTACCAGTGAGCGAGAGCTTTAACTTTAATGATTTATTTGGAGATCCAATGAAAATCAGAGATTGGCAGATGAATGGTTTACCATAAGATCATCTATCAGTTAATAATGCAATCATAATGGAAAAATCCAAAAATTATTGCATTTGTATTGATCCATAGTATTAAGCCTGTAATTGGTTGAAAAATTAATACTATGACAATGGTCTGATTATAACCAAGTACGGAGATAATTACTTTAGAAAGAGTCTTGAGATTGCCATTGAACTTGGAAAGCCTGTATTAGTTGAAAATATAGGTGATAAGGTAGATCTAACTCTGCATTCGCTTTTGGAAAAAGACATTGTTAAGCATGGATCTTAAAGATTAATAAAATTCTGTAGAAAGACATTCAAATTTGATAAAAACTTTGATCTATTCTTAATAACTAATCTTAAAAATCCTCACTTTGATGTTAACATCTCTAATTTTGCGACAATGGTAAACTTCTATGTAACTTTTGATGGATTGCAATAACAGCTCTTGTCATTAGTTGTTGCTAATGAGAGATCTGATCTAGAAGAAAAGTTTTCAGAAAATACTAAAGAGGCTTTTGAAAATATTCGAGGCCTCAAAGAAATCGAGAATGCAATCCTAGAATAGCTTTAAATGGATGTTTCAAAATTACTTGGAGATGAACTCTTGATAAAGACTTTAAATGAATCTAGAAATACTGCTGAGCTCATAGCAATGAAACTCAAAGCAATTAATTAGACTTCGTAGTTCATGTAAAAATCAAGGGATGTGTATTCACCAATATCTAAAAGAGCTTCTTTGTTATACTTTGTTGTAGCTGATTTATCTAAGATCAACAATATGTACTAATTTTCACTAGCTTGGTTCACAAATGTCTTCAAAAAATCAATATAGATGACTAATTAGCTGAAGCCTGAGAATAAAAATGCCAAGTCAAAATTATAAAATAGTCAAATGAGTATGAAAACATCTATAGGTTTTACAATAAAAGGTAACTCAATTGATGACAGAATAGAATTATTGATAAAAACATTTACTCAGGAACTTTACAGAAAAATATGTTCATCTATTTATGAAAAAGATAGAATGCTGGTAACTTATCTAATGGTGCTTAGAGTTCTCGAATATGAGGATTATCTAGATAAAACTCTCTATTCTTATTTGCTGATTGGTCCAAAGAATCCAGATTACTCTGAAGAACCTCCAACATAAGATCTGAAGCTAAATTGGTTAAATAAGAGAAATTGGGGAGATTTAAAGGCACTTTCACAAATTAAGCCTTTTACAAATAATAATTTAATAGAGTACATTAAGGAATTACCTGCAGTTTGGAATGAATACTATAAGAAAAACAGATTCTCTTATGATGAGCTACCAAACAAAGATAGACTTAATTTAATCCCACTACTGCCTCCACCTATCGATGATAGATTTGATGTATTGCCAGCAAATGATTTAGTTTAGAGTAAATTCATGAACTCATTTGACAAGTCTGATACTGAAGATGACTAGAACAGACCACTGACAAGAAATGTTAGTTCAGTTTTGAATGACGAAGAACTATGGAGGGTATCTAGTGAAAGTGATGAAGAAGAATAACAAGTAAACAAGTTCACCTATAAAAAGTAAAATCTGGGAGGAAACCTAGATGAAGATGATAATGAATTTCTTAACTAAGAGGAGGAAATGGCTCAGTATTTACTAGATAACAACCCTTCAATATTTAATTAACAATATGATGGTGAAGGCAAAAAATTAGATAAGGTCAAAATGACCAAGCAGGAGAGCGATATGAGAGCCAAGAAAGAATTAGTTCTAAAGTAACTTATAGAATTGTGTGTGCTTAAATGCATAAGACCAGATAAAATAAGTGAGAGTATTGATAAGTTCTTGCAAGTTGTGATTAATCCATCCTACACCAGCTTTTCGCAAGACATAGCTGCATAATATACTAATCAATCATCCAAAAGAGACATAACAAATGGAAGTCAAAGAAATATAAATACTTCAAATAATTCGTAATAGACCAAGCATACTGGAAAGCAGAGCAATTCTAACAGCAAAGTTAGTAATTTCATTGGACTTCTCAAGGATGCTTTTGATGAATCAAATAAAAGCACTCCTATTTTCTTCTTAATCACTCATTGTAAGTTATTTGCTATTTTATTAGTATATTAGCCGTGAATGTATTTAATACTTTGGGAGAATTGTAAAAATCATACCCAGAATATCATCAGATAAAAGTTCAATATTTATCTCTTGGAAAAGGCCTAGAAAAAAGAGTTGAAGAAAAAATTATCAAAGCCTCATAAGCTGGAGAGTAAGTGTATTATTAAAGCTAACTTTATCAGTTGGCTGCTACTTGAAAATCTGCATCTCGTCATTGATTGGTTGTCGAAGCTAGAAGAAATCATTATGAAATTAGAAAAAGCAGATGTAAATCCTAGATTCAGATTATGGCTTTCAAGTGTTGCTGTCCCGAATTTCCCAAACAACATTCTCTAAATGTCTATCAAAGTTTCTTTATAACCACCAAGGTAAAATCCATTATTGCTGATGATATCTATAGTGGCATTAAATATATCATGGATAGATTATTAGGACCTAATGATGAAGTCTTTAAGAAATCTAAGAGCAATGCAGTTCTCCACAAAAATCTATAATTCTGCATTATCTACTTCCACTCTGTTCTTGTCGGTAGAAAGAAATATGGGACTCTCGGATGGAATGTACCATATGAATTTGACTTCTCAGATTTTGAAATCAGTGGTTCTCAGCTACTTCAAATGATGAGACGAAATGTTATTGATGATGAAACAAACTTAAAAATGATGAGATACCTAATTGGAGAGATCAATTATTCTGGAAAGATTCAGAGATCTGAGGACAGAATAATCCTAAATGCCATCCTAGATGATCTATTTTGCTCAGAGTTAGCTTTCATGAAAGAGGCAGTTCCTTAGAATGTAAATAAGTCTCATTATGGTCTCCCTCTACTAGAATACAATGCCGATAATAGCTTTGGAGATTTTTCAGAATTCATGAGATCTTTGCCAGAATTCGACTAAGAGGAGATATTTGGATTTAATGACAATATATAGAGACTAAACCAAAGAAACATGATTTTTGATATTTTAAAGAAAGTGAATCTGTTCAATACCAAAATCGAACCTTTTAACAATCCACTAGATGCCTAAGTAAAGGATCAAAGTGATATGGTTGTTAGAGATATGTCTCAAAAATTGCTGCTGAATTTGCCCCAGCTGTTCGTATAGGAAATGATCAACTCAATGTATCCATTAAAGTATGATATACCTCTCTCTACATTTATTCACAGGGAGGTATTTAAATATAATAACTTGCTTTTGGTTATCAAAAATTCTCTCATAAATTTGGTTAATATGATAGATGGAAAAATTCACTAGACAATATAATTAGACACATTATGGCAAGAGATTTTATATGGAATAGTGCCCAGATCTTGGCTTTTGGCATCATACCCAACTTGTTCCACATCAATATCAGATTTTATTAAGAATTTGAATGAGAGATTAGAGTTTATGAGGAACTGGATTGAGAAAGGATTGATTAAAGAAAAAGAGAGCATAGATTTTGAAGGATTCAACAACTCTAATAATGGGCTGAACAGCTATTGGTTTCCAGGTTTCTTTGATTAATCAGCTTTTCTAACTGCTCTTAGGCAAAAGAAAGCAAGATTAGAGACTATAGAACTTGAAGATGTTGAAATAAGATTCGATGTCATGAAGTATATGGACCCCAAAAATCATTAAATTGATAACGATGATGTTACTTTCATTACAGGCTTTTGGTTAGAGGGATGCTAGTGGGATTTGGCTGCCTAGTTTTTAGTAGAAACCGATTCTCAAGAGCTATATGTCCCATTCCCAGCAATAAAAGTAACAACCCTAAGAAAAAGTCCGATTCAAAGGATGAATGCTTCAACTTAGAAAATTATAGATTGTGATTTCTACACATGCCCTGTTTTTAAGACTACTATGAGATTGGCAAATAATACCTACTCTGTGGAGAATGAAGCCCTGATGCACATTCCACTAAGAACTAAAGAGCAAGCAAACAAATGGATTAAAAGAGGAGTTGCATTGATCCTAAACCCAAGTTACTATTGAAGACAAAAAAACTATAATCTTCGGATAAAAACATATAATTGATTATAAATTTTTGATTATTCTTAATTTCATAAATTCCAAATCAAATTCACTCTTATGGGGTTTTGGGGTTTTGGGGTTTTGGGG